GATGCCGTACACACGTTTAGAGCTCCTGTTATGATGTCCAACAGCTGATAAATCTCAGATTCGATTCTGTTGAGTCTGTTCATGACAGGTAATGGAAAGTGCAACACCTTCATTGCCCCCTCGCACCGTCTGAATGGGGCATTAAATTCAGAACAATTTTAGTAATGAAATCAGTGACCCCGAAGGGCCAGGAAAATATTCCAGTTTTGATTCTGGAACAATTGAAAATCGAAGACCCGTTTGTACTGAGTTTGTTCATGACAGATAATGCTAGGTGCACCTCTCATGCACCTAGCACCGACTTAAGCGGTATTCAACACTCATCCATTTTAGTATTGAAATCATTTGTCCCTCACGGGTAGGAAAAAAAGCATTTTAGTTAATATCGTTTTTTCTCTTCCAGCTTTTTACATACGAAATTAAGGCGCAGTGGAAAAATAAACATTCCCCGTGGTCGAGGGGTTACACGCTCGTTTAGGAAGCGAAAGGCCAAAAATGTTCATCTTAAAAAGTTCATTCTGTAAAAAGACAACAAATGGACCTTGTTGCATATGTATACTCGATCTTTATTTAAATGATATTATTTGTGCGTTTATATAGTGAACGGCCATTTGTCCTGAAAAAATTCCAATTAAATATAAAATGCTTTCATAAGTGAAAAATGTACAAAGACACGAACAATGCATTGTTTGGGACTACTTTTGACTACTACGTTTGGGACTACTATTTACCTATGGGGTACTATTTTCATCGATTGTTATTTTTTTAAAAATGAATTTTAAATGCTTTTGCATTTTCATAATCGTTAAACAGATCTACGTTGAACAGAGCCTTCACATAACAAGTGATGTATGTTCTTCGTTAAATTTTAGAAAGTTTACTATCAACATACCTCTCTTTTTATATAGAAAGGACACACATAGTAACCCGATATAAACATAAGGTGTTGGCCTCTCAAACCAAAAATCGTAGGTTTGAGCCCTACTCGGACGACGGCCATGTCTCCTCGTATGACACAAGTACTGGTCAGTTCTGAAAAAAAAGATATGTAAACTGCAAGAACTTGCTTCACAACCGAGCATTAATAAATCTGTTTAAACTAACATAGGCTTAGGAATAATTAACATATGTGCCGAAATATTTTCCCCATAATTATTCATTTTATACCTTAAGTATTCACTTTTAAATGTAATCTCTTATAATTCATATCATTTTTGTACTGCAGAAAAATTGCTTGATATACGTTTGTAACATATGCAATAAATGAAAAGTAAACTAAAAAGGACGTGGTTGATTGGTTGTTCAATTTTCAATTTGATACTTATCGGGCTTTAAATATACTCTATTTCGAAACTACGAAACTGAAAAATGAAAATATATGTTGAGAAATTTTGACAGGGTTATTGATCAGTTAATTGTAGCTCATTGCCTCATACATAACACGCATGTAAAATATAACAACCAATTCTGTCACTTATAATCTTAGTAATAAGGTTCATGGGAGACATAACATACGATTTTAAAACAAAAATACTCGTTTTTCGTATACATGCTTTTTCATAGTACATACTATTTCTGTACGTTTGCTCACATCACGAAAAAAGTGCAAACTTGTTTAAAGCACTTTTCTCAACGTTTTCGATACAAAATTAGGCCTTGCGAAAAACAAAGTAATGACCGATCAAGTAACAAGGAAGGGTACAAAAATCATATTTGATAGTACTTAATCATTACAAGATATGCGCATTTATAAATTTAACCAAATTGAAAACTGTTGAAAATTGAGTACCGCTCAAGCCGGTGCCAAAAAGCGTGAGGGATGTTGCACATTTTCATTATCCCTCATGTACAGACTCAATCAAATCGAGTCTGTAATTTTCATGTAATTTTGTTGTGGTTTATGCTTCCGAGGCATTACCCTTCCTTCAGATTTTGATCTTTATTTAATCCAGTTTAAATTGTTATTTGCATCATTGTTCTTTCGAAAATCTGCTTGTTTCTTTGCAAATCAGTAATTGTTTATATTTTGTATTTGTTCCATATTATGTTAGTCTAAAATAGTAAATGCAATTTTTATACAAACTGAGACTAAAATCAGGATCATCTCTTCAAGATCCTGATCTTTTATTTGTTTACACGAGGTCTGGACTTAAAAAAATCTGGAAAAAGGGTATTTGATTCCTCGGGAGCATTAATTACAACAAATTAAATGAAAATTGCAGACTCGGTTTGATTGAGTCTGTGCATTAGGGATAAAGAAAAATTGCAACATCTCATGCCCCCTAGCACCGGCTTGACTCTTTATCTCTTAAAGTGTTGGAATCAATAATCCAGAAGGACCAAAAATATATAACAACACTGAATTCAAGGGAAAATAAAGTTTCGTAAAATATAATCGAGCCCAAGCATTTGATCTTTTTTTCAACATCGGAATTCTTATGCACGTAGATATATAAAAGGGATATTTACAGCAATAAGACATTTATGGGTTGTCGTAGAATTAGAGTTTGTCTACCATATTGAAAAATCTAAATTTAAACATGATATTTACTTTAACATTTCTTTAGTTTATGACAAACCTTAAATTTTGATGTTTTGTTTTGTACATTTTTTTTGTTGCGCAAATTTAACTAAAATCGAAAATGTTAGTTCATGCATATACATCCGCGTCAGATGTAGGTAAATTAGTACAGATTGTTTTTACATTCAACATGATGAATTGCAAATCTTTTTATCAGATTAAGCAGCTTCTTTGGTTTTGTTTGTTTGTTTGTTTGTTTGAATTACTTTCCTTTGTTATTTTTGACTGTTCACGTAGGCACGTTTCTTTAAAGCGGCATTCACGGTTTATTTTCTGTAGGAAAACAATTCTGTCATGTTTCAAATTAAGTATTTCAGTAATTTTATTTTGGAGAAGTGCATAATATCACTGTGATCTTTCTCCAAAGCTATTTATAACTCGTCAGTGACGTTCGTTGCTAAAAATAGAATATCGCGAAACGAATCGTCCGCTTTACTAATTTAAATTTAGAGAGCAGATGGGTAGATGTATTGAGGGTTACCTTTTTGTTTTATAGCGTCGGCAATTTCATTTTCCACCGTTATTCTTTTGATGTGACAATTATATGAAACGTTTTATTTAAAAATAACAAATTTTACCTTTAGAAAGGCTGAAGGCCGCTTTAACGTTATGCTAATTTCCATTATGCCCATTTAATTTCATTTAATTCATTAATAGCATGAAATGAATACAGCTACATCTTGTTGCTTACTATATCTATCACTGCTTTTAAAAAAAACATGGTTTATATGTTCAGTTAAAAGCCATCGTTGCTCATACAATAGTCTTATAAATTAAATGTCAATTTTCAATAATCATTTGAAAAATACCATATCAAATAGATGTTATCCGGAACTCGGCAAATGCGCTTTTTCCCCAGCTAAAACTTCGACTTGTCATCTTGTACTATTTCATAACTTCAAGTCTTAGATATTTGTCTTTATGCGCAATTACAGAAGAATATTACTAATTTAAGTAATAAAATATGGCATTTAACATCTATATATTAAGCTGGTAAAATAATAAAAGGATGGCAGTTGTAGGCTCTAACATGTATTTATTTCCCGTTATGATATTTTATTTATTGAAGGAAATAACCAGTTACGTAACTAGTAAACCACACAACTAACTAGTTAATTAAGAGGTTAACAAGTTACATAACTAGTTAACCTCTTAAGTAACTAGTTAGTTATATGGTTATCTGGTGGCGGAAATATGTCACCATAATAAATGCTTCAATTTAAGGTTAAAGTTAAACATTTACTGTCAAACTGAATTTAAAGGGATATTCAGGCAAAATAATGTCAAAAATATTAAAATGATCTAATGTACTAAAATCACGCTAAAATGACTTTTCTTGAAGTTTCAGCATGAATTTCTGTTTAAATTCTATATATTTTGGGTTTGAAGCATACATTTATCTATATATGTTGTACAAAATTTAGACGCCAATAGAATTACCAAGTAGTTTTTAAACAAGTCAGGTGACTTGAACAAACTCTTGAAGTTACAATAACAGATATTGTGAATATTGTATGATTGAAACAAGCCTAAGTCATTCATTTGACATGTTCTTTAACGTTTCCAGAGTTCACTTTGACAACTATTGTGAAATGCTAGCCCTCTAACCTGACCCACGCGGGTCAAGTTAGGAAACCACCATTTTATTCTTTATATGGAGAAAAGTTTTGTTCCTTTGACTGTCTAATATATTCATTTTGAGGGCATTTACAGAATAATGAATAAAAAATTCAAAACTAAGGAATGAAAATTTTGCCTGTGTCTCCCTTTAAAGTTTGACTCATTATTACAAATCAAAATTCGTTGAAACAATTGCATAAGCAGTCCTACATTCCGGTGATACCTTTTTCTTTTTATCAAATAAGCAGGTGCATATGCACTCTTTATTTTTTGTCAAAAGTAATTGCGATAAGATTGTTGACTTAATGTTGTACAAATCGACAATTTACGAGGAAACATTAAATTTTATAGAAATAAATCTTTAAATAGTCCACGACATCGACAAAAAGAAAATTTACACATTTTTTTATATGGAGATATACTGTCTTCCCTTCTTTAAAGGTAACTTGACATTTTTGAGGTTGAGATGAAAGAGGTGTATACAGAGTGACACTGTCAAGTTGACATCTAGATATCAATCATTGTAATTGCAATAATTAAACCGTGAAGATTTACAAGTTTTGTGACAATTTGAACTTTTACTTACATGTCATTAACCCTAAGGTATCTCCTTAAATGGAAAATTTAAAACACGTCATTATGAGGACATATGAACAAATTACTTGAGTGGAATTGAGTGGGGAAAAAAACTCCAAAACAAACAAAAAGGAACTTTCTTTTCATCTGTTTTATTTAATATATCTACAATGTAATTGATATATATATATTATCATAATATATGATATAATGTGTCTACCATTTTGTTTGCACCAGACTGATTGAATCAGATGTATCCAAATAACGTGAAATATTTTGCCATGCTATCGAAACTTAGGTCATTAATTAACATATTTTTTTATCAAAGAGGTTTAATGGACTAATTAAGAATCTGCAGAAAATCGATATTTTGATATAAATATCATATCTTTGATCAAAAGAAAGTAGGAAAATAATTTCAATGTCATACCCTAAGTTTAGAAAACCAACTTATATCAAAATGACATTATTGTAAAAAAAACAACAACAAAATACTAGTATATTGTTCCAATCTTGATGAACAAATCATGATATTTGGTTTTATATTATACACATCAGGATTTCAACAATAAAATTAAAAGACAAAATCGTAATAATTCTTTTAAATGTATTTTACCAAAGTTTTAACAGATCAAAAGGATGAGATTAATTTACAGCTTCAGCTATTTGTATATTAGGGGTAACAAGCGTACTGACAATGAACCTTTGCGAACGGTAACAAGTAATTATTACTAGTAAAAATATAAAAGAAATAATTTGAAACGCTATAAATTATTTATATTTTATCCCATATTTCCCCTTAACATCATCGTCATCATCATTTGTGTTAACATATTGTTCATCATCGACGTTTGACCGCCAGCCATCGGTTTCTTGGGCGGTGGTCGGCGTGGAGGTGGAGGATGCTTGGGAGGGGGTGGATGGTGATGCGGGTGTTTGTGTGGCGGCGGGGGTGGGGGTCGCTTCTTTGGTGGAGGATGTTTAGGTTTTTTCCTTGGAGGTGGTGGACGTTTTGGAGGCGGGGGATGTTTGGGCTTTTTTCTTGGCGGCGGAGGTGGACGCTTCTTAGGCGGTGGAGGGCGTTTCTTTCGTGGTGGTGGGCGTTGAGGTTTTTTCCTTGGCGGTGGTGGTCGTTTCTTTGGAGGTGGTGGTGGACGCTTTGGTGACGGTTGGTGTTTACGTGCGGGTCTATGACCTTTCATAACATTTCGGCACTTGACTTGAACGGTACTTCCGTGTGGTTTATGTGCAGCTGTTCGTCTATAACGTGAATGTGAGTGGTGTGAATGTGGTGCATGATGCCCGTGGTGTGTGTGTCCTTTCTTTTTTGGAACCATGTCACAAATCATATGAACGTTATTTTGCCGAGGCCTTGGGGCTGGAGCATGCTCTTTTGATTCTCCTGCGTGACTGTATCCAGGATCGCCTCTTCCGCCACCTGTTGCATCATAGTCAAATGATTCAACTGCTGCTGTATCACGTGGACGACCACCATCTCTACCCCCTCGGGCATCATGAGTGTCATAAACGTATTCAGGTGACGATCGTCTGCTTCCTTCACCGCCGCCTCGCATAGGTCTACCCCCTTGACCATCTTGTGTATCATAAATGTAATCAGGAGGAGGCCCTCTGCCACGCCCTTCTCCTGCAGGCACGTCATACATATAATCAGGTGATCCTCGGCCACCTCTTGACGAGTCTCGCGAGCCTGATCCAGGAGAGTCATAGAAATAATCAGGAGACCTTCCATCGGCTCTCGGTGTGTCATATATGTACTCAGCCGGTCGTCCTCTTCCTCCGTCAAGACCTGCACCTGACCTGTAGTCCTGAGCTCCACCTCCGCCACCTACAGCGTAAGTGTCATACATAGCACCACCTTCTCTTCCACCACCTTGGTAAGAGTCATATATAGCACCGCCCCCTCCCGCACCACCACTAGGGTAAGTATCATACGCTGCACCGCCCCCTCCTGCACCACCACTAGGGTAAGTATCATACGCTGCACCACCTCCTCCTGCACCACCACTAGGGTAAGTGTCATACGCAGGACCACCTCCTCCCCCGCTTCCAAAACTCCCCCCTCCACCACCACCTCCTTGCTTTTCCATGCCTTTTCCCGCTGGTTTGCCTTCAAATTCTTGAGAGCCTACCAATCCGAGGCCAAGGGCGAAAATAAGAACAAAGATCATGCTTGATCTGAAAAACACACAAAAACAACAACTTCATATATTTAAGTCAAGCGTTTAGTTTCGGGTAACAGAATTGATCTTGTGTTTGTTTTATTTCTTGAAGTTGCGTTTTGTTTTGTTTTGTTTGAAGTTGGATAATATAACTCATGAATGTATATATGATGTTGCATATACTATATTTAATTTTGAAATTGTCTATTTTTTACTTAATATATTAAACAATTTTTATTTAAAGAAAATTGAAAAAATCTGCAAATGAAAGATCTCTCGAAATCAATGAGTAATAGAATCAGTTTCATTGAGTCAGTTAAAGAGAGGCGAAATGATAAAATGTAAATTTAAGCAGATGTTATACTACTAGCATAGGTCACTTAGGTCACCTTTTTTATTCAATGTTTCGAGTAAGTAAGTACAATACAATGTATCTATTTCTTCTCTGAAGACATGCACTACACCATCAGGTAAGTAGATAATTTATATACATCATTACAACAACAAATCATATATACAATTAATTACAAAATTTAAAGAGAGGTACATGTATTTCTTATTATCTTTTATTAACAAAACATGATCAACAAGATCAACAAGGCAAGGCTGTGTTCAATGAACGCAACCCCCGCAGTACCAGCAGCAAGGAACCCAGTATGACCCCAAACCGAGACTTTAATAAAAATATCAAGCAAATGCATTGTTTTTTTTTGTTTAATTTGCTCTCGAGTGATCACACCTTTTATGTCAAGTTTCATTATTTAATCATTATTTGAAATTAACATTGTTTATGACATTAAAATGTGTTTTTATGCTCCTTAGACCTTAGGGTAAAAGCTATTGTCGTTATTTTGTTGTTACACAACTTCTTATCGTTTCTAGAGCATCATACTTTTTAGCTTAGTTTTACCTCATTTGTTTGAAGGTATTTTTATGAACAACTAGCCTTTAATGATTGGGAACTAAGTCAAACTAAGTAAGACATTAAAAATACTTTTTAGATTTTTGTAAATGTTTTCACAAAGTTTTCTTACACATTAAGCAGGTAGATAGCTTTTATATACTCTCGTATTTATACAAATTTGTTGGTTTTGATATGGATCAAGATTTGTTTGAATTCCCAACATTTTCTGAAGAAACAAAACCAACCTTCATTTATTGGCTGATATTTAATACAAATACATTGCAGGGAAATTGTGGTGTTACAGGAATCAATGTCAAGAAAACAGAGGTTTACATAAGATTTTCTTCTGTTCTTTAAAGAACAAACAGAAATAGAATTATTTTGCAAATTATGTACGTATGTATGTAGTCTATGCTTTATGAGGGTCCATCCGCCCTTTCGGGAACAAAATGCAGCTTTTGCTGTCGAGTACGGACCCCAGACATATCACCAGTCATGCCCTTAAAGGGTTAATTTTGAAGCACAAAGAGGTGACAATTAGCCTTCATGCAATTTCCAGGGAGTATTAGCCAAAGATATGAATTTTGAGCCAAAAGTAGGTCACTGTACGGCGGAGAACCTAAATGTACATGTACAGTAACCTGTGACAATATGAAAGGGTAGCCCTGAAAAGGGCTGTTGGTGCCATTAAAAGGTCTGCCATTCAAGCCGTTTAACCGTGATAAGGGCTAAAGCACCCTAGCACACCATCCTCGTCGACCCAAGTGGCTACTTTGTAGGACCACTCCCCTTGGCATTAGTCGGGACACCGGCAACTAGTCCGCAGTTATTGACGAAGTAGCGGTCCCGTTATAACCCCAACGGGGGCTTCAACTTAAGTTTACTACCAGCCAAGCCGTTAATCTTCTGTCGATGCCCTGTGCCTTCGCAGCGACGTGCATGCTCTGAGGGGAAGTGAGAAGTGCTTTTGGAAATTATAAGAAAGATGTTCTACAATTTTGTTTAAAGATATATTGCCAGATACGTGAGAAAGCGGAACATTTGTATTTCCTATAAACCATTGTCTGTGCAATGCTCGCCTGGTGCTAGACAGTGATGTTTTGAAAATAATATATACCGGGCCGTCATTGCATTAAGCTATTTTTACATTGTAGTATACCTGCGTGCGCAGTTTTTATGCAAGAATAATTTATATATACTCATTATTTGAACAGTAATTTTACGTCTTAAAAAAGTCCCATCATGCTTCAGGTTAAAAGTCATAACTATCTAAACTAATATTCGATTAACAATTTATGTTTTTGAAAATAGCTATATGGAAAGAAGTTATATGTACAAATCTCAGAGTGATATAAAACCGTTTACAAAATATAAATACGCCTTAAACATGCTTGAAATGAAAACAAACGGCGTTATAATTTTTTCTTGCAAATTTATGGGAGCTATGAACTTTTACGTCAATAAAGATACATAAAGATTGATTTTCAGTGTTAAATTGCTTTTTGTACACATTAAAAGGATTAAAAACTAGTTGTACTCAATCTTCCAATGTAAGAAAGGCGCAAAAGATTTTTTCATAAACAAATGTTTTTATAGATTGTAGTTTTTAAACCATAAAAGGGATGAAAAGATATTTACGTTATTCTTTGGTAAACTTGTTATATTCTTATTTTCAGACGTATTTGGAAACCCTTACAATAAGTGTATTTAATACACATACATGGATTTGAAAAAAGTAAGAAGTAAAACGTTAAAAAAAATTATTTGTTACATTGAAATGCTTGACAAATTACTATTTGTCCCCTGTGAAATCAATGCTTTTAAAATGCAATTGCCTGTTGAAATGATAAGGTATAGGGAGTTCAATAATTACGCCAAAAGGTTCAGTATATGTCTGTCATTAATTCTGTAAATTTGTTGAGGAAATGGTTGAATATAATTCATAATATTCACGAAAAATGATTTGATATATAAAATGCCTGCTTCCAATTAACATTGACAAACTTTCTTAAACCAGCACCGCGTTTACTTTTATATACTTTGAGTTACTGGTATTATTTCAAACATTTTTGCAATGTAAAATATTTCCTAAGATACACGCATATTGCTGATAAATATGCTTTTGCCTTGTTTATGCATTCCATCCTTTTGATTCTAAAATAAGATTCTAACAACGCTAACAAATGATTCAATTTTTATTAAAATTGCTCCTAAAATGAACAAATGAGGACATTAGTCTACGAATATATTGAAGGCCCCTCGTATAACATTAGTTGACCTTGTTAATGCTTTACTTTCTATTGTCAGCTTCTAATATAAAATGTTACAATTGTTAGTGTGTTAATAAATGAAGCAATTTGGCAAAAAGCAGTTACAAAATGCTACAAATGAATTGTGTATGAATGCTTGTTAACACTAACATGCTAATTTAAATGATATGTTAATTTTTTGATAAAATAATATATCATATTTATAAATGTGATAGTTTTAAATTATATTTTAAAACTACACTAAATGTTTTATATGTCTTTGTTTAAAGTAATTGTAGTAACAAATTTAAATTTCGACATTAAGGAACCCCCATAAAAACAGCAACAACAAAAACAACAACAACAAAAACAACACAAAAACAAACAACAACACACGAACAAACTTAAGAAGAGAAGAAGAAGACAAATAAGAAGAAGAACAGCAACAACAACAACAACAACAACAACAACAACAACAGGCAATCATTACATAAACAGGTTATACTTGAGCATTGTTTTTTTTGTTTTATATTACCTGGATTACATAAGATATATTTAACTACTTATCGTCAAGCAATCATCAAGCAGATTACATCGAAGACATAAAAAGTATCTGTTCGTTTTCAACTTACCTTTGTTCAAATCCAATTTTCATTTTTCTTTTTTTTTAAGTTTCTACATATCCGAGTGTTCGCCTATAACTAACGAATGACTTTTTTGCATTGTACTTCAATTGATGAACAACTTGTAATTGCTATTTAGATCAGTCAAATTCTTGTGAGGTCAGTTTGTAAATCGAAATAAAAGAGGACTATCTATTATTCATTACTCAGTGGAAAAAGTCTACATTTTCTTTTTTTGAAAGATTAAGATACAGTACATGTACTTTCAGATTGAAATGTTTCTGTGGATGTTATTAACTTCCTAAAAGACACAGTGTATGCTTAATTGCTGTGGCTTAAGGCGGTGATAAAGGGCATGGGCAGTAGCTTGCATTTACAAATGCTGTTCGTGAACCGACTCAAACATAACCGAGCCTGAAATATTTTCAGTTTTGCCGTTTTGAGCGGCCTGTAAAGTTTATTGTGACTATTTCTTGAATTATAGTCCCTGTCGTGTATAAAAGGTGTTTTCAATATACATGTAATCTTCTAAGCTCACTACCATGAGTACTTAACCATAAAACCTGTCAAAAATATGTACTTCGTATAGAATAAATATTTATTGTCACCCAATGAAATAACTCTATCAAGAAAGAATTAAAAATGTGCACAAAACAGTGAATGCGTCCCCATAAAAAAGCCATGATAAATTATCACTGTACAGAAAGATTGCTAAACTATAAAACGAACACCATTGTTATTTGAACTTGAGATATTTATAACTGTTCGTTTACAAAAAGTTTTGAACGATGCTAAGGTTTATCACGTTTTCCAAAACAAATTCATCACTTCCTCAAAAATAAACATTTAAAATGCTGATTTAATTTATAGTCAATAATGTCTTAACAGCTTAGCAAAATATTCTTTAAAGTATGTTTTTACCCCTGGAAACCAAGACCTTTTTGTCCCTAAAATGATCCAAAATGTCATGATTATGGGATGAAATATTTAAGCTTACATGAACTAAACTATGTCTCCTTTCATGCCTGTTGAAACAAATGTTTAATTACAACATATCTTTAATGTGGTCGATCAATAAGTATCATGTAAAACATAATTTTTTTTGCTAATTTTGTTATACACAAATGCATTGTCCACGACCAATGTTTGCCCCTTTCTCGATTGTTGACCCCCGCAGATGTCCCTTTCGACAAGTTGTTGTTTCTTTTTCATGAGTACGTTATTTTTACATTGGCGTTTAATTTATTTGATAAAGGGACTCCATTAAGGTTTCTCGACGTGAACGGCTTGGAAATATTCTTCCGAAATTTGTGTACTTTTTAATGTAAGTCTGGCCATTCACTTATCTTTTTTCAAGAATAATAATTTTCATTGTGCAAATTAACCAAAAAATGAAAATTGAGCCAATAAAACACACATGTTTTCAATTAAATACATTGTAAATTTCTTGTTTACTTCTGTCCAGTTTCCTTTTCAAGTATCCTAGTTGATATATTTATGATTTACATTGTAGGCTTTTAAACCTCAATGGATCTCCTTTAAAACGCGAAAATATGTAAAACACCACACAATTTTCTCTTTTTTCCAATAAAATATTAAAAGACCTGTCCGCCCGTATTGTTTGTACCGTATTCTTGCCCTTGCAAGTGCCGTGTACGACAAGATGTTATAACTACCGTGTTTCGTGTACGTTGCTTTACTTTGTTGATCTTTACCTTCATGTTTTGACTTATTTTTGATATGTTATATCCTTTAAGTCTTAGCAGTCATCTTTATATGTTTTATTATAGTTTTCCTTTATGCATGACCTTTGGCTATAAAAGTATTCATTCAGCAATTCTAACACACTAGTAATTAAGAAAGATGTTTAAAGCAAAATATATATCAAGAATATTTACGCATACACCGCCCCTTCAAATTATGACGACCTGTACTCTAATACCCCTTCCCCCGCGCAATGTAAGAAAACTACGTTACATAACCTAAACCTACATCAAATGGTACATTTATCTGGAAAAATATTTTCAGTCCCATCGTGTCAAAAAATCCTCAGTTAAGAAAGGTAGTTTTATGTTCAATTATCATTTCTATTCACAAACTTGTAACTCTAATTTTCAAATTGTGTTCAATAAGTCATGATATATACTTTTCGATTTTGAATGTGTGTTTTATTTCAGTTATAAATTGAAACATAAAGATATGATTATAGTTGTTTCCCTAATTGCTGTTATATTACATGACTAATATGACTATATACAAGCAAACTCAAACGGTGTACTGCTATACAATAAATTATATCTTTAAAACAATCCCGCAAATATCTGTGGTGTTTGTACAAGATTCAGACATACTTTCCGAGTATAGGCATATCATTTTACACCTGCTCGTTGAAAATCAGCAATGATGTCATCGTTCTTTTTGCAATTAGATTCAGTTGTCATTCTATAATGTTGTGCTATAAAAATCGATATTACTTTAGCAAAATAGTTTTGTTGCTTCAAGGCTCGCTTTCTCTGTCTATTGTTTTATATCAATTTATCGTTCGGATCATGATTTATCATTCTTTATACATTGGCAAATCACTAATGTTCAGTAGGTATTTTAAACGCCGCTCCAGGTTAATAACAACAATACGATATGTATTATGAAAGGAGTACAAATATAAACACCAACACCTGTTTAATCAATAAATCAACCAAAGAAACAATCGTCGTCACAGCACAGCATATAATTAATGTTACCTAATGAATGTTTATTAATGTTTAAGTTAGAGATACATTTATTACACAAATTGCAGTAAAATAGCATGAATATGTCAACAAATCAACAGGTTATCACATTGGAATTTATTACAGTGGAAAGAATATTTGGTAAAGAGCTTATATTTATGTTTAAATAGATACAAATTCAACAATTGGAATTATTTTATCCTTAAACTTTAATCAATATCATGATTGGATATTGTTAACTCCTACGCTTGTATTTGTGTTCTGGTTTTAAACGAGGTTTTTGTTGTTGCCGTTGTTTTGGTCTTCTTGTCATCTTTTTACCTTGATTTATATGCGGTCTCGGACGATATTTTCGCATACGTCTTGGTTGACGCATGCGCAGTGGTCTAAATTGATACCTCTTTCTCGGTCTTTGTCGATATTTCCTTTTTGGTTTTTGTTGATATTTTTTCTGTGGTTTTTGTTGATATTTCTTCTGTGGTCTTGGTCGATATCTCCTATGCATTCTTGACCGATAGTTTCTAAGCGGCCTTGGCCGATTTTTTCTCGGTGGCATCGGCCGATACTTCTTCTGTGGTCTTGGCCTATACTTCTTCTGTGGTCTCGGCCGATACTTCTTCTGTGGTCTTGGTCGATACTTCTTTTGTGGTCTTGGTGGAGACTTCCCCTGTGGTCGTGGTCGATATATGCGAGGTCTTGGCTGAGGTTTCTTAGGAGGTTTTGATTGAACTTTATTCGGTCTTCTTTGAGGAATGTATTTAGACTTTTTTGAATGCTTAGGACGTGGTCGTCGGTGATTTTTGTAATTTGGTCTATGTTTGTGTTGCTGCTTGATTTGAGGTGGTCTGGGTCCTGGTCCCCGTCTATAAGACACTTTTGGCCGGTACATTCGGGTTCTTTGTCTTGGTCTCCTTCGTCTTTGTTTGTTAGCATATGGTGAAATCGGTCTGTACCTACGTTGGTACCGCGGTCTTCTTTGCCTTTCTCGTCCTTGTTTTATTGGAAAAGGTCTGCGAAACATATGTCTCCGCCGTCCACGTCTTCTTGAAGGTCTGCGAGGAGGACGACGAGATCTTCTAGGTGGTTCGTGAACTTTTAAATCATGCTCTTCTGCATATTCTTCTGAATCGTAACTGTTAGGTTCTTCTAGTTCACCTTCTAGTTCACCTCTACGATTACCTCGTCCACCTTCTACAGGCATAAATGAATGTCCTCTACCTCTACCAAAATCATTTCGTCTGTAAGGATTCAGTAATTGCGCTTCATACATATTGTTACTTGACATACTATCTCCATAGTCGTAATCTTGACCGCCAAAAAAATCGCTGTATCCACTGTCACCGCCGGAATAATCTGTAACTTCATCTGCTCGGGAGAAATCCATAAAATGACGGTCCTGCCTAGAACGGGAATGCTGCTGATGGCGGCTTCTGGCATAGTCTTCAGGACGGCTGGAGAAATCGTTAAAAGTTTCACTGCCACTGTATGTATAGGGATCATATGGCCCGTATTCGCTTTCTGTATATTGTTCGCCCATAATATTTTCATAATCTACTATCTCTCGTCCTCTGTTCCTGTCTGGTCTTTCCGGGCGATAACTCATTTGACTTTGTTCGGAAACGTCGAAACCACCAGCAACACCTCTATAATCTGATTCAGTCTCATACTCATAACCGACACCTTGACCTCCATCCATTACATTACCTGGACCCACATCATATCCATTGCTTTCACTGTATGCATATTCTTCACCTCCAGCTCCAGCGCCTGTTATGCCAGCATCATATTCATTAATACCATATTGCTCAAAATTGCCTACATTTCTAGCATCCCTTCCGTACTGAAACTCCCCTCTTGTACTACTTTCGACTCCATAATCCTCCCTTTCAACGCCAATGTAATCGTTTACATCTCCACTACCCCTATTATAACCATAGTTATCACGACCGCCAACGGCATAATCACTACCTATATTACCATCACTGTAATCAAGAGCCTGATTAACACTTCCACCGAAGCCCTGTTCTCTACCCGTTCCAACATCATATCCACGACCCTCTCTATCCCGATATCCATCTACACCATTACCACCATAGCCATACATTTCTGCACCGCCAACGTCACCACCATAACCATATCTATCCATGCTTCTAACACCACCTTCAGATCCTGTTTCGAAATATCCACGCGATCCGTCGGTAATTGCACTATTGTAATCAGGTAAGCCACTGCTACTGCCACCAAAACTCTGTCCTGCACCACCTCCGATATCATAATCATATCCTCTTTCACTGCTTCCATCAAAACCATATCTTTCACTCGTCCTGTCAGTATAATCATTTGCTCCAACAGCCCCTCTATAATCAATTTCCGCACCTCCTCTACTTCCATAATTATACATATCGCGATCCCGTCCCCCATATCTATATCCCCCTGTTTCGCCGCCAGCGCTTCCATAGTCATATCCATAGCCCGCTGCATTTATAGTTTCTCCAGT